CTTCCCGACTCTCAGCCAATCACGTCGAAGGAACGCAACACAGATTAGGAACGCGACAAAGATCACCCATCGCCAGTCGAGGCACTTCCGCAGATGTGCTCATCATTCCCATCGCCATCGGTGACACAATTGTGAACGCATCATTCGTTAGATGTCACACTACTACCCTATCGCCACCGACGCGACTTCCACAATCACTTTATCATTATTTCGTTGTAGGGGTAACTACGCGGGAGTCACAAAAACGAGTTACAATCACACTATGGGCCAAGATACAGTTTGCAATTGCACTTCGGTCACCCTACACCTGGCCAGAAAGCCGGGTTGTATACATTGCCCGAACTGCAATTGCAAACTGTATCTTGGCCCATACTGCAATTATAACTCATTTTTGCGACTCCCGCGTAGTTTCCCCTTTATTGTATTTCACAGGATACTTGTAATAATCATTTTCTGATACATGCAGAGGTTTCCCAAGGCCTTTCGTTATTTAAAAAACAAAACAAAAAAAACAAAAAAACATCCCTCAATGATAAGAAGGGACGCAGGAAAAGAATCGCGACACGAGAAAGAGGAACGACGGAGCGGGTGGGCGTGGGGAGGCGGGGGGGGATGGGGGGAGGGGAAGAATCGTCTACACGTCAACATTGAGAGAGGGGGAAAAAAAAAAGCGACTACAGCCCCATGCTATGTGCTAACAGAGGAACGACAGAAACACGCGCTGCCTTGTCGCGATCCACGGCTATTTACGATCCTCCGCTCTCCAAAAAAAACGCAACGACAGAATGGTAAATAGTCATTTGATACCCGGAAAGTGTCCCGACGAAAAGAGACCATTCACAGCGAGGCACCGCATGATGCGAGCAGATCAAGGTATGATAAGGCGTGTCACACATTCGCAAACGCACCAAGGTCTGATACCGTTTGCTTGCAGCGAAACCTGCCCGAAACACATCCGCGCATTCAAGGGTCCACCACCAACAGCAAGAACTAAAATCGGCGAATTCTCCGTCGCAAAGCCCTGAATCAGACTCAGACTTATTTCAGCGCGTTCTCACCCATTATACAGATATATACAACATACACATGGATATACTAATATGCATTCTCGCTCTCAGCCTGCCAACGCCATTTCGTCAAAAAATCTGTTCCAGGCAATCGTCGCTTCCTCGGAGGCCTCTTATCTCCCCTCCCGCAACGATTCCCAATACCTTTCCAATCGACAGAAAAAAATATATTTACAGATAACAAAGAGCTCATCGCCAAGCGGAAACTTCCTGGGACGCCTCTATTTCTTCGAGAGCGTGAGCGGATTTACACTCCGGAAGAAAACCAAGCGAAAACTCGCGTGACGGTAATTGCGCCGCAGCCATCGGTACACAACAGAGAGATCAACGCTCGACGACACAAGTTCAGAGAACCTTCATCATAGACAGAACAGCGGACCAATAGAAAAATCTAACACCAGAGAGAGAGAGAGAGAGAGAGAGAGAAAGAGAGAGAGAGAGAGAGAGAGAGAGAGAGAGAGGAGACAATAAGGGAGGATAACTTTCACCTCGACAGATCCGCATCTTAAAAAGGATGCATCCGGGCGCTCAAAGGGGAGAGAGGGAGAGAAAGAGGGAGAGGGAGAGAAAAGAGGGAGAGAGGGAGAGAAAAGAGGGAGAGAGAGAGAAAAGAGGGAGAGAAAAGAGGGAGAGAAAAGAGGGAGAGAAAAGAGGGAGAGGGAGAGAAAAGAGGGAGAGAAAAGAGGAGAGGGAGAGAAAAGAGGGAGAGAAAAGAGGGAGAGAAAAAAGGGAGAGAAGGAGAAAAGAGGGAGGGGGAGAGAAAAGAGGGAGAGAAAAGAGGGAGAGAAAAGAGGGAGAGAAAAGAGGGAGAGAAAAGAGGGAGAGAGGGAGAGAAAAGAGGGAGAGGGAGAGAAAAGAGGGAGAGAGGGAGGGAGGGAGGAAGACAACAAAGAGGAGGAGGAGAAACTAATGAAACTCACCTACTGAAGAAGACGCGATGGCAGATCCACATCCGAAGGTCTTAAAGCAGGAGTCGACTATCTTTCCGCTTTCATCTACTTTGATCTGCAGCTTCATAACGTCGCCACAAGCTGGGGCGCCAACCAGGCCCGTTCCGACATCAGGATCGTTCTTATCGAAAGACCCCACGTTCCTTGGATGATTATAGTGATCAACGACATTCTTATGATACCCGCGCGAGGTTAGGCCTACTGCCAGCGCGCGATCGGCGTGCCGTGACGAGCCGCCGCTCGCGGCGACGGCCGCCGCACATTTCGTTGCCACGTGTCGAAGCATCGCGCCCGATGTCGGGATCGGGTCTACACACTCAGGCCAACAAGCAAACGCGCGAGACGGCGATGGCGGCGAGAGAACGAACGATGCGACAGAGAAGCTTCGCGAAGCTACTTGAGATTCTCGCTCACTTGCGTCCTTTCGCAGACAAAGCAGGGAGAAGATCTCTCGCTCGCAGCCTCGCACGAGTCGCACGACCAACCGCTGGCGACAAACCCCGCGCTACGACAAAAAGCTTGACCTCCGCAATTCGCAAACGGCGCCAAAAAAAACGGATTGCCTCACCGTGCCAATACCAATTCCAATTCCTCCACCAAGCGATGAAAAAAGCGCGACGAGGAGAGATATTAACCGCCAACGATGAAATAACAGGCGCGAGGAAGCAAAAAAAAAGAATCAAGGAAACGCGCGCGCAACACGTGATCAATCAACCGAAACCGCGCGCTCAACGCCCCGCCGATATCACAGCCCGAGTTCTGCAAGCCCCGCGTGCTGCCGTGTCAAACATCAGCCCAGTAACTTGTTGCTTGTTGAGCTTTATAGTTATTGGGCCTAGCTGCACTGAGTCTTTTTTTTTTTTTTTTTTTTTTTTTCTGAGTCTTGAAATGCACAAAAGACAAAATTCATGGCCGTGTATCTTTCCATATTCTAGCGGAAGATTCACTCTCGTTTTGCACATTTCGAGAGTAGTGCAGCGAGGCCCATTATGTGTTAAGGGCTCTCGCAAATCTCGCAAGAGAGTTGTCCCCGCCCACTGCTTGATCGGCGCACCATGGGCCTCGCTCCACTACTCTCGAAATTCTCGAAATGTGGAAAACGAGAGTGAATCTTCCGCTAGAACATGGAGAGATACGCCCCCATGATCTTTTTGTCTATTGTGGATGTCCAGAGTAGTGCGGGGAGGGCCCATACGTTTTTAATTTTTATATTTTGGGGGGTCGTCGGTCGGAGCAACGAATCCTGGGTGGAGGAATTATCTTATTTTATTCCTCGGCCAGACCCGCAGTGCGATGTTTGTGCGGGTTAGCATATGAATGAATCTCGGCACTTTTACAGGCAGGTTCTTCTCATGGCACCAGTGGGACCCGCTTAGCCGGATTGTGTGTTTCTGGCCGTCGATCCTTGTGGTAATAAACAGTCTGAAATGAGGAGACAGGTGGCACACGTGTCTGTGGGGGCATTCAGCGTCATGGGATGGTTCTTTCTTCTTTTCTTTTTTTTTCAGGGATGGCTCTTTCTTCATTTTGCGGGTCCACTATCAGAGAGAGAGAGAGAGAGAGAGAGAGAGATGGCACCCAAGCCATTGAGCTGGTTCGCAGAACACCGGGGCACAGATGTGTCTGAAAGGGGCGCTGAATGTGTCCACATTTAGACGCATCTGTGGCAAGCCTCGTTTCAGCCTTTCCGCCCCGCGCCCTTTCCTTTTTGAAATTCGCAGCTCAAGGACCGCGGCCTGGGCCAACCCAGTGCGCGTGAGCGGTCCCACGAGCAGCTACCGGTCCAAAAGAAACTGCCACTAGCTGCCACTAGCCCCTAAAGTGACCTGCCTGCACGTGCCTGCATTTTTGGAGCCTTCCAACGACCAACCAGCCGGAATGAACGACCAGTATAACGACAATGACGAAAAATGTCGCAACCCTGACGGGCTGCGAACTGGGCTAATTTTTTGGTATTTCCAGAGCAGGCTATTTACCTGCTTATCCCATTTATTAGTAGCATAGCAATTGTGAGCTGTTCTCTAGAGCTGCCTTGCCTGCAGGACTCAGCGCCAGGCCCCCCTGATGCGACCCACCCCTCATCTCCTGGCTTCTGCTTCTACCGGTAGGAAGTCTTGACGCTTGTCGAGCGCCTGAATGGCCCCCGTCATAAGATGGATGGATGTTCCCCCTATACCCTACTGTAGGGCATACTGCGGGCATACTCACACCAGGACGTTTCCCACTTCTCTGCGGAACTAATTGCGGTCAGGTGCATCCAGGCCGGGTCAGAAAAGCCGTCAGGTGCATCCAGGGCAGGAAACTCCAAGTGTGAGTATGCCCTGAGACTTGGGACTTGCATAATAGATGTGCGGTAGATGTGCGGTAGATGTGCGGGTGCAATGACTGCCAGCTTTTCCCACAATTGGGTGATTCTACCAGGGGGTCCTAATGGTTGCCGGTTGTGCTCGTATTACGCCCTGGTAACCCCTGGTAAACGATGAAGGGTTGGTTGCATTGAGTCCCTGCAAACTGATGGTTTAAACCAACAAACAGTGCACCCTGAGCAAACCTGTCCAACATCATTTCCCACTGCTTCCTGGACGTGTGAGCCATTTCAGGTCCGGCCCACTGGGGACCACCACATTGTTTGGCGTGACCCATGGCCCCCTTGCAAACTGGTGCAATCCACGGTACAGTCATGGTGTGGTGGTGGTTGCGGCCTGCCGAGCCTATAGATCTTGGCGAAGCCAACTTTTTTTTTTTTTTTTTCTTTGAGAATGCTCCAGTCTATTTGTGGGGAGCAGCACGTGCTGGGAACAGGGCCCAGCGTCCCATTCGAAAACGTATTGAGAAACATATGCAGAACAATTTGAGATACCGGGACCATTACCTGGCTTCGGCTAGGAATGGTAGCTATGCACATAAAACTGAGAAAATTCCGCAACCTACTCATGCAGAAAAGCTGTAAGAAAAAAAAACAAGCCTTTAATTCATAGGAGCTTTCAAACCTCAAACAGCCTAACTTGCCTATTGAACCAGAACCAGTTACTGGCTGTTCAAGACGGAGAGGTGGTATTTGAGTGGAGACTTACTTTTTGTCCTTAAAAAAAAAAAAAAAAAAATGTTCACTCTTTGTTGCTGTTGTTTGCTTGTGCGTGCCCACACGCCCGACCGCACCTGTTCCGGGCCTATTCCACAAGTTCATTCTTGCTACTCCCGAGAAAAGTAGGCCCTTCGAGCTGCTGGCGGCTAGCACCAGTTTCCCAATGATAGTGGGACTGGGGCCTTCTCCCAAAAGTTTACAGGTTTAGCTGGGGAAATTCTTACCTCATGAAAGCATCACTCTTTGGAACTGCACTTTTTTACTAAACTTCAACGCACGAGTGCAGACGTCAATGTTGTCGTTGTGAATCTAACACCACGGGCCAAAGATGGCATTTTTTTCTTGTTTCAGCGATGGTGAGGTGCTGTTGGCACTATGTTCTGTACTCATCAAGCATGAACCTGGGCAATTCAGACAATGAGATGCATGCTCAGTTAGCACAAAAATAGCATGCAGTGAAGCGTGGGCCTTAAACGTGGCGCCAGCACCAAAACGGTCTTCAAGAAGTCAGAAGATGCCACTCATGTGGCTGGCTGCAGACCAGCAAGCAAATAGTGAGGGGCAGGTCCCACTGGTGCTATGCTTGTGCTAGGAACGCGTGAATCTGGTCGTTGTCATTCCTTCCTAGCATGAGCAAAGCACCAGTGGGGCCTCAGTCTGACTCTCAGGGCATATTCACACGGCGACCCCAAATCCGCAAAATATGCAGATTTGGGAAGGGCCGATCTGAGGTTTTGGGCATGGTTCACGTCACACTGCTGTACCTTTTCAGATGGGACAAGGTCGCGGCCGTCTGGAGAAATGGGGATTTGGTACTTGGCTGGTCACACGGCGCCATTCACCAATTGTGCAAGAACTTTTGTGAGCGAATGTTTGCCAATTTTTGAAGAAAATGCAAAAAAAAAAAAGGGAATTTGCGGTCACCTCCAGAGGTGACCGCAAAATCCCTTGCCCCGCAGCTTCCCAGGCCGCTGACAAATGGGCACTGGAATAGTACATTTGCGAATTTGGTAGATCCGTGTGACCGGTCTTTTCCCCTTTTTTGGGGGATTTTGGGATTATAGGTCCCCGTGTGAGTATGCCCTCAGTAGGTCAATTATTTGTGTAGGTAACCTGCACTGAGAGATCACCACAGTAGATTACAGATCACAATCATGAATATGAGTGCTCATGCATGGAGAAGTTTCTGCATTCTTGCTTAGAAAACATGCACCTGATTGTAAAAACGGCTGGGTTCGCAACTTTCCGACCATAGAAATAGCACCACTGCCCCCTGGCCTCTTATTACTGACCAGACCAAGTTCCTTGTACCCACCCCCAAACCCCAATTTGCAATTTTTCAAGTTCTTCTCAATATGGTGAAGGTATCTCAGCACCTGCCTGGTTGTGCAATGGTACAATCACTTGCATGTCCATAAACAGACCAAGAGGTCAAGTCCTGTTGGCTTTCCTGTTTGTTAGGGCAACAACACAACAGGTAGGAGCTCCACCTTTGTGAAGCAAAATAAAGGGCAAAGGAACCCACACCGCATGGATGCAGCTTCTTGCACTGAATTGCTCTTTCCAAAAGAGCCATGGAGTTTGCACAGGGCTGCACTATCCTCGTTTCGACATTTCCACAGGGTGATATTTCTCCCATGCCTTTACGCTTTACCCCGTTTCCTCTTCTGCCTGTACATACGGGTTGCTTTGATGCCTTATCACCCCCAAATACCTCTGAGCAAACCATAGTGAACATTTCCAAATGTGCCGAAGACAAGAGCTATGGCAGGTGTATCTTTCCACGTTCTAGCGGAAGATACATACTCGCATTCGGGCATTTGGTGAGTGGTGCAGGGACGCCCATTGGCCCAGCTCGCACCACGTTTGATTATCAGAGGGTCAACATTGGCTTGCTGTTTTATTTACCGGTGGTTGGGAGGAACGAAACGACAAGAGAAGGTCCATATGTGTTGTGTTACTCTTGCAGGCAAGTGGGATATGGTTTCTCCTAAGGAAACATGGGAGTTCCAACTACGGTAGTGTGATCCTCTTGGAGGATGCTCTTATCATTTTCAGTAAACTCTCCCCTCTACTGATGTTCTTGACATGACAAAAAAAGAGAAAACTAGGACAAGGTCATGGTTTGAGTCTCTAAATGCATTTCAAACTGCCGTTTCGCAGTCCAGTCCGGTCCGAAGTTTACAATCCAGTCAAAACTCCGCTTTGCAGAAAAGTCGCAGCGCGGAGTTTGCAACTGCAATTCAGTAAGGCACTTGGCTTTTTTTTGTTCTGGGTGTGGCCAAGGCATCTCGTCATGTGGCTAGGCCTCGGCCAAGATTTACAACAACAACAACAACAACAACAACAACAACAACAACAACAACAACAACAACAACAACAAAAAAAAAAAAAAAAAAAAAAAAAAAAAAAAAAAANAAAAAAAAAAAAAAAAAAAAAAAAAAAAAAAAAAAAAAAAAAAAAAAAAAAAAAAAAACGGCCATTTTTTTTTTTTTTTTCCAGGCGTGGCCATGGCATCTCGTCGCGTGGCTGGTTGTCGGTATACGACTTCACTTCACGAGTTTGTGTAAGAGCAACTGAAGCCTAAACACAGCAAGGTCATAAATCATACACAACGCATTCAGGACTCAGTAAGCACGGACCAGACAAGGGACCGACCATTTGAGTGACACTAATAGAGGCAAGAGTTAAGAGATGAAGATGACACAAGATAAACCCATAGTCATGGTAAATCCCGAGAGCGACGTTATCGTAAGATAAAACATGAAAGAGCAGTACCGGACTCAACATCCGGTTGGCGCATGACCCGGCCGGTTTCAACTGGTCGCCAATACCAGTCCTCATCAGAGGTCTTTGTCGGTAGGAAACTAGACTACTGCTTCCTATTTATCTTGTATGAAGGACTGGTCTATGGAACTTCTAGCTATCTAAATGAAAAAAAAATCATGGGCCCTAACTACAAAATCATGAGTACAAGACTCCCAAGTAAGTTTGAAACCAGCATATCGTGCCCCTATTACACCGATCGGCCACATCTTCCAAAAAACACGGCCCGGGACTACTTCACAGATCCAAAGACCCGCCGGGATGGAGGTCCGACAGGATGGAGACAAAGGGTAGACGAGGGAGGAGATAGAGATGGAGCTGGAAGGGACAGCGCAGCTCCGACGCAGACTCAACACGCACGTACTCCAAGATCTGCAAAAGTGAAGAATGACGAAAAACAGACAAGTGCTGGGGTATACCCCCAGCGGACTGACTGACTGGACTGGCCTGGTACCGACAGTGGTACCGGGCAGGACTAGAACAACACACGGCCTGTGGGATCAGGCCACGGCATGGTCCCACAGGCCGAACTGGGCAAATAGCCAAATAGGCCCTAGCTGTAGGCCAGGGTAGATGAAGGCCCGTTGCACGATCCTCAGACCTGTAATGGATCGCAAGAGCCATAAACACGCTATCCGCAAAAGCAGCGGAACTCTGCAATAAAGAAAGTTGAGAAATCTAGGATGCGGAGCAAGCTCCATGCGGAGTCCATGCGATGCATCCTAAGCTACATAATGTCAAAAGAAAAGCAAATGTCTGGTATACATATCCTAGCTAACAACAGAAAATGAAATGTAGTATGATACAATCCTAAAGTCCTGGAGGCAGTGGCCTCAGTGCTGGAAGGAAAAGAGCAATATGTCAGAAGATAATGTCATGTCGCTGAACCACTAAGAGTGGGATGGTCTCCGAGGGGTGAATGCAGCCTAAGAATCGAAACTCCTAAGGGCAGTCACACATGAAGGTGGGATAGGTCATCAGGCTCGGGAGAGTGGTAGCGAAACAAAACCAATGACCCTAACAGATAGACCATAAAGGCGGGTAATGATCGACAAAAGGGTGACACCATGCAGGGTCGACCATGAAAAGGGGGAAGCCTGGAATAGGGTGGAGATATGCCTAACTTAAGGCATGCAAGGGCCGGTACTAGGGTGATGGGGGCAGTGGGTGAGGGAAACATGCACACAACTCACTGACTGCAGGAGGGAGCTGGATTTGGGAGCAAGGAAGCCAAGATAACGCTACGGTCCCAATGCCTATGCGATACCAAGGGAGAGCCCAACTCAAAGAGACCCAGCTAAGTGAGAACCATCATGCGACAAATGCAAGGGAATGTACAGGGTAGGTTGGTGGCGTGAAGTAGTCACGTCCAAAGTAGCTGAAGCCGATAAGGTAGCTGAAGTCGTCGAAGTGGTCGATGACGTCGATGAAGTAGCAGTCGAGTCGATGTCGAAGCAGAGTCGCAAAACGCTGACATCCTGAAGAAGAGTTGATGATGGAGTACCTGATGGTGTGAGTCAGTGGGGAAAGATAGAGGATAAGAGTGTCAGTCATCGTAACGCGAAGGGCGACGATGAGTGCGCTGTAGACGCTCGGAGGCGACCATCTGCGGCTGAGGAATGGCCTCAGAGGGAATGGGCTCGTCCTCAGCAATCTCCTCAGCCGGAGGAGGAGGAAGAGGGTCAGTCGGCTGAGTAGAAGCAGATGTCTCAGCACGACGAGCACGATCATATGCACGCACCAACATCCTGGCGTGCTGCAAGTGCTCAAGGGGCTCCCAAGTAGCCTCCTCATCAGGGTAGCCCTTCCAACGCACAAGGTACTCGATGCGTGGAGGGGTATCGTCGGTAACTCGGCGTGATACGATGTCGGAAACAACGAACTCCTCGTGACCATCCACCATGATAGGTGGAGGGCGCTCATAAGAGCGTCCGGCGAAGCGCTCGGACGGTCTGCGATAAGGACGCAGCAAGGAGACGTGGTAAACATCGTGCCCGCGAGCTTGTCGAAGGTAATCAGGTAGCTTCACACGGAAGTTGACCGGACTAGCAGCAGTATCAGAACCGACGGCCTGAACGATGCGGTATGGACCGAAGAAACGACGCTTGAACTTACGAAGCGTATCTGCTTCGAGCTGTAAGTGGCGTGCGTCGACAAGCACATCGTCACCGACTTTGAATGGATGATACATTCGTGATCGGTTCGCTCGTGCGACCATGCGAGTCTGGGAGTCGGTTAAACACTCGTGTGCACGCTTCATAATCGCCGCCATGTGGGCGATCCAGTCGTCAAGCGCAGGGCAACGAGTGTCTGGGCGCAATCGCGATGGTCGTAGAAAATCCGCGGGTACGCGAGGGTGGTAGTCGAGGTCGCAATAGAATGGGGACATCCCCGTGGCTGGCGAAACAACGTGGTTGTACGCAATCTCCACGTGGGCTAAGTGTAAGTCCCACTACTGGTCATCCCTAACAAACTTTCGAAGGATATTACCGAGAGTTTTGTTGGTGACCTCGGTCTGACCATCCGTCTGAGGGTGGTAAGACGATGAGAAGCGGAGCTGGGATCCGTACACCTCATGTAGGCGTCGCCAGAATGTGCTGGTAAAGCGCAGGTCACGGTCGGAGATGATGCTCTGAGGTAAGCCGTGATCTCTCACGACTCGGCTGAAGACGATGTCGGCGACCTCACGAGCGCTAATGCGATAGCGGCACGGGACAAAACGTGCATGCTTCGTTAAGCGATCGACGACGACCAAGATAGCATCATGACCGCGCTCAGTGGGTGGGCGGAGGGGACCAATGAAATCCATCAAGATGAACTGCCAACGACCCTCAGGTATGGGTAGGGGCTGAAGTAACCCATACGAAAGGTGATTCGCATTGTTCACCTCCTGGCAAGTAGGACACTCCTGGATGTAGGCTTTGACAAAGTCCTTGGACTTCGGCCAGACGTATAGGCGACAAACACGAGCCAACGTCTTGTGGAAACCCATATGACCGGCAGCTGCCTGGTCATGGAACTCTGCTACAGCCTGGACGCGGAGCTGTCCGGTGGAGGGAACGCAGATACGTGGTTCTAGCTGACCAGATCTTCCATGCCAGTACACGAGGCCGTTCTCCCCAAGGGAGTAGGAAGGAACGGTCTTGCCACTCCGCAGTGTCGCGTGGATGAAGCGATAATCGGGGCAGTGGCGGTACTGAGTGCGATACGCGTCGATCACCGACTGATCAACAGTGGTGATGGAGATGGCAGCAAGATGGATGGGTTCCTGATTGTGATCAGGACGGCGGGACAAGGCATCTGCGACGCGGTTCGTTTCACCCTTGATGGGCTGAGTGGTGAAACTGAACTCAGATAAGTCACGCCACCAACGTGCCTCTCGAGGGGAAATCTTAGGCTTCGTGAGGAAAGCCTGGACAACTGAGTTGTCCGTACGCACCGTGAAGGGCGCCCCGTGTAGATAATGACTCCAATGCCGGGTAGCATAAACTACTGCGAGAACCTCACGTTCATCGGCAGTGTAGTTTATCTCGGCAGGCAGTAGCTGACGGGAGTAGAAAGCGATCGGGCAATTCCCAACACGAGCCTCGATAGTCCCATCCTCCGCGATGGTCGGGGAGTAAGTAACAAGAGGACTGTCAGTGGAGGAAAGTGGTGGGAGGGTAGGCGTCAGTCGAGAAGCAGTGTCAGCAGGAGGGGGGGGGGAAAGAGGGATAAGGGGGTAAGGTAAATCTGGAGGAGAGGGAAACACCTGAGAAAGGACAACTCCCACTGCAAAGTCTGACGCATCGGTGGTGACGATAAAGGGCCGATCAAAATCGGGAAGGCGAAGAACCGGCGCACAGGTCACCGCCTTCTTGAGGGCGCGAAAGGCGTCCTTGCACAGGGGTGTCCAAAACCACGGCGGGTTCTTCCGGAGGAGGGTAGAGGTAAGGACGTAGGAATACCTAGCGTATCCCTGGATAAAATTACTATAGTAGCTGGTGAGGCCTAGAAAACTGCGAAGCTGCTTGGCAGATGTGGGGACGGGCCACTCTGCAATAGCAGTGATCTTCACGTCGTCCATGTGGAGACCCTGGTCAGACACATGGTGTCCTAGGAAGTCCACTTTACGCTGGGCAAAGCGGCACTTACTGAGCTTGGCATAGAAGCCATGCTTGCGTAAGCGCTGTAGGACATCGCGGAGGTGTCTGAGATGGTTTTCTAAGGTACGACTGTAGACCAAGATGTCGTCCAGGTATACGAGAACGTATTCTTCAAGGATGTCCCTGAAGATGTCGTTCATCGCCGTCTGGAAGGTGGCGGGTGCATTGGTGAGGCCGAATGGCATCACCGTGAACTCGTAGTGGCCGAAGCGCGATCGGAAGGCGGTCTTCGGATGATCCTCTGTGGCAACGCGGATCTGGTGGTAACCGCTACGAAGATCGATCTTCGTGAAGAAGCGGTTGCCTGCCAGACGGTCAAACAGCTCANGGCAACGCGGATCTGGTGGTAACCGCTACGAAGATCGATCTTCGTGAAGAAGCGGTTGCCTACTAGACCGTCAAACAGCTCATCTGCACGGGGCATGGGATAGTTGTTCTTAACCGTGTAACGGTTAAGGCCGCGGTAGTCGATGCAGAGGCGGAGAGTTYCGTCCGCTTTGCGAGCAAAGAGGACAGGTGCACCCCAAGGGGAGTTACTGGGTTTAATGAAACCCAGTCGAAGGAGCTCCTCAAGCTGACGCTTGAGTTCTGTCGCCTTTGGAATCGAGAGTCGGTATGGTACCTGATGGTGAACACGATAGTCAGGCACGAGCTGGATGGAATGCTCGACACCGCGCATCGGGGGAATCCCACTGTATGAGAAATAGGGGGGGAAGACGTCGCGGTACTCTCGAATCAGGTCGCGAACGGCGGGCTCTAAGTCTGCCGTGAACCGTGTGAGTTCCTCAGCGTCTGCGTCAGCACGAGACGTATGTGTGGACTCGACAGTCGACGGTGCAGGGGCCTGAGACGTGGAGGAGGTATTTGCAGGCTGACGAGTGGATGTAGAGATGGGAGCCGCGAAGATGGAAGGAGGGCCAGGGGGATCGGGCTCCAGAGAGATGAGCTCAACCTCGGGACAGAGTGGATCATAGCGAAGAAGATCCGTGACGTTCACTGAGTAGAACGTGACGTCCTCCTGTCGTATGAAGTGAGCAAGCTGACGAGGGGAAGTGAACGCGATGTTGGGGTGGGACCCTGAGGGACGAGGGTCCTGGGGAGGTAGGTCGGGCGGGGTGTCGCCCGTGGTTCCAATGAACGGGATGCGATGGGTCTGACCGCACTTCGTTTTGAGAACGAGTGTCTCGGTCGCCCATTCGGCCTTTGTGCCATGGAACCGGTGAGACCAGGGAGTGCCAAGGATAAAGTCCTACCCAGTCTCCAGCACGTCGAAATATGCGGAGGAATGGTAGCGCCTAGGCGTCTGGGGACTATCCGATGGCTGGAGGGTGAGGGAGAAGTGGAGGTCGGGGACCGTCTGATCGAAGAAGCGCTGCGTCTTGTTATCTCCGAGGGTAACGGAGATAGGAGAGCGAGACCCAGAGGTAGCTAGGCGAGCTTCCTCAACCACTCGAGGGTGAACGAAATCTCCCTGCGAGCCAGAGTCCCATAAAGCGCGGTACACCCTCGTAGATATCCCTAGGCGAATAGGGATGATGGGTAGGGTGCGATCAGGGTCAGAGAGCAAGGCGAGAAGATGACGCAGGACGTTGATGTGTCCCGTGAGGCGCTCCTGACGAGCCTGTAGAATGCTCAAGTCCAGGAGAGATGACACAACATCATCGTGAGTCGCCTGCTGAGCGCTACAACGGGCTGTGCGAATGGCGCGACGCGTCGGAAGTCTCGGGAGAGAAGCGCTCATTGCGGCGGTCTGTTGGGAGGCAGACGGTACCTCGACAGACGATGGGGCGGAGAAAACTGCGTCTGTCGTGTCTTGAGGGTCCTCTGGTGGGGTAGCCAAAGGGGCAAACCGCGACTCGGTGGTCGGGAAGCCGGCTACGTGCGAGGCCTCAGGGGCACCGTGCATCGTGGCTAGGTGGATGGGGTTGGCCGGGCGGGGCCGGGGGGGGATTGAGATCGACGCTGACGAGAGATGTCAGCGTAGTGTCGATCGAGGGCGGTATGGTATGGACACCGTGAGGAGGTGTGTCCATTTAGACAGCAACGAAGGCAGCCGCGCCGGGCCTCGAGGGCGGCACGCTCCTCAGGGGATAGAGCTCCGCGAGGAGGGACATAACCCTGCGGGAGGTCTATCTGAGGAACCGTGGGTGTGCGGGCGCCAGCCTGTGCAACCCGACTACGAGCACGACCCATGGCAGACATGGCCATCAGCAAGCGCTAGGCCACGGGAACAATGTCGTCATCCAAGTGATACTGGATGACGTCTCGTAGCTCGATGTCCTCGGGAGCGTCCCCAAGGGTAGGGTCAAACTCGCCCAAGGCGTCCTCGCCATACTCCAGAGAACTGTAGCGCCGAGAGAATAGCGCTCCAGGGTGGGCTGGTCGACGAAACCGGCTAGCAAAGGAGGATCGACCGCGAGTAGCACCACGTGACTGGGTGGCGGCAGCGGTGGATCGCGAAGAAGATGGGGTGTCGGAGAAGCGATTTCGCATCTTCTGGTACTGTCGAGCAGCCTCGTAGGCTTGCTCGGCGGAGGCGAAGCTCTGTCGCCAGAGCTCGATACGGTAGTCAGTCGGGAGACTGACTACGAACCTGTTGGTCAAAAGGGCCTCAGGTAGGAGTGCCTCATCGCAAATGAAGCGGGCGTCCTGGAACACTCTGATGTGACACTCAAGATCGGAGGGTGTGGAGGACCCGCGCCACTCCGTCTGGGTGACCCGGTCTAGGGCGTCGGTCGCATCGTGGAGGGTGCCGTAGCGGTCGTGGAGGAAAGCAGTGAAATCCGCAAGAGTGGGCGCCTCCCAAGCGGAGAATGCACTGCCTCGCAATTTAGTTGCGAGGGCGGAACACCACAAGTCCTGACTAGTGTTAGTCAGTGTCACCGCGCGTGTGGCAGCCTGTAATCAGTGCGATACACGCATCGTACCATCGTAGTCGGGTATGTCCAACAGACGCACAAGAGTGCGACTGCTGTGCTGGCGGCGAGGGGAGAGGGGCTGATGAGTCTGCACTACGGCAGAAAATGTCGGAGCAGGTGCAGAGGTAGAAGTGGGGGCTGGTGGTGAGCCGGGGCCGCTGGTGGAAGGTCCAGCGGGCGTGGAGGTAACGGCCGCAGCCGACTGTGACGGAGTAGCAAGGTAGGAGGGTAGAGGGGGGGGAGCCGGTCGAGGGAAGCGAGCCGGCAAGACAGTGGTGGGAGGGACGGTGTAAGAAGAGGGAGGGTGCGCAGCCTGTGGAGGGGGAGGCTGTCTAAGGGAGAGAATCTCCGCCTGGAGCTGCGCCACAGTGGCTTGTAGGGTAGCCACTTGCTGGGTGCGCGGAGTCGGGGGTGGAGGAGGCGGAGGGAGTGCCCTAGCAGGGAGAGGAGGAACTCCGGGCCGAAGTACCGTAACTGGTGTAGGAAGCTGCGACGCAGCACCGGGGTGGGTAGATGAGACTGCCTGGCCCGATGTCGGTATCTGGGCGACAGCACATCAAGCGGTGGCCGAAGCGGCAGGGGCGGCGGAGGTGGCGGCGACCGGTGGGTGTACGGCCACAGACGGTGTGGTCTGGGCTGCAGCAACACTCACCACTGGGGCGGGGGAGTGCTGGGCTTGGCCCGCAGATGAGGACGAACCGCCACATCTCTGTCTCTGGCGTCGTGGAGAGCCAGACTCCGAGCTGGTAGGCGATGGGGTCTGAGAGCGGTGGGGGGACCGATGAGGGGAACCCTTGAGGCGGTGAACTTCAAGGGCGAGCGCATTAACTTGCGTCTCCAGGGGTGCAAGCGCATCGAGTCGCGCTTGCAGAGGTGCAAGGAGGGACGCAAGAACAGCGCGAAGGTCCGTGGGGTCCACACCATGCTGACCCTGGACCGTGGGGTGGGTGGGCGCCTGAGAGATGGATGACACCGCAACGATCTCCTCCACTGTAGCCATGTCCGTGGATGGTGGAGGAAGAGAGGTAGACATGGTGGGAGGTGGGGGGAGATATGGGTTGTGGTATGGGGACAGAGGACCACCGGTGAGAGGGAGAGGACCGCGGGAGCGGAGTGGGTAGTCGTGATTCGGCTTGCACCGTGACCAACGGGTCGCGCGTGAGATGGTGGCGCGAATCCGGTCTAGGGGAGAGGAGTCGTTCGGGTCCAGGGTGCCCGACGGGAGGAGGTGGGAGAGTAGGGGGGTTAGGGAAACCCTTAACCCTAGAAAAACCCTAAGGAAACCCTAACCGGAGTTTAGGTGGTTAGGGGAAGGTGACGGCGACCTAATCAAGAAAAGAAAATAATAAATATGGAGGGGAGGGAGAATAGAGTAAACAGTGGATTTTCGAGATAAAAATAAAATAAAAGAATAAATAAATAAAATGTAAAGATTGAGGAGAGAAAAAATATTTATTTTTTTAAAATTTTCGGCAGCATTTTCCCACCCCGCATGGGGTCAAAAATATGCCAAGAGGAAGGAAAGTGCAAGAGGGACACACTAACTTTCAAAATGCCGCAAATTAAAATTTGCAGAAAAATAAATGAGTAAATAAATAAATAAATAAATAAGGAGGTGGAGGAGAGTGAAGAAAAGCTAAGTTTTGGAATTTTTTCAAAAGTTTCGGCAGCATTTCGTTACCCCCATGGGGTCGAAGTGTGCCGTCAAGAAAAAGACTAAGTGAAATAAGAAGATTTTATCAGCACTTCGCTACCCCTAAGGGGTCAAGATGTGCTGAAAAAAGACTAAGTATGAAGAAACCGAAAAATTTCGGCAGCACTTCGTTACCCCCACGGGTCAAAATGTGTGCCGAAAGCAAGAATGGCCAAGTCCTAATCAGATTTTAGGGTGCCGCAAAAAATTTCAAATTTTTATAATAAATAAAATAAATCAAAAAATAAATCAAAAAGAAAGAGAAAAGAAGAAAAAACAGAAAAATTCGGAGTTGGGTGTGGGGGGGGATGGAAAAGTGATGAAGAAAGAGAGAAAGAAGTGAGAAGAGAAAGAAAAAGGTAAGGTGGGGGATGGGGGAGATGATGGGATTGTAGTTGGGGGAGGGAAGGAGGAGAAGAGGGTGGTAGGATGAGAGAGAAGGATATGAAAAAGGTGGAGAGAAGTATGAGATTAGTGAGAAATGGTGAGTGGGGAGGAGAGGAGAGAAAAATGTTGTGGAAGATGGGTGGAGAGGGAGGTAGGGGTAGAGTGTAGTAGTAGGGGAGAAAAGATGATTAGATGATGGGGGGAAAAAAAGAAAAGAGGTTGGGGGAGAGTGGGTTAGTGGCAGGATGGTGATACCAGGCTCTTGGGTGGCCAAGAGCAAAGTTTTACCAAGATCCACAGGATCTTGGCCTTCAAGATGCTGCTGGTGTGATGCCACAGCAAAAATGATGATGATGGAGGGTTGGCTGAGATTTTGATCAGCCACCCTACTGCCACAGTCACACAGCCCCCTAGCCAGGGGGAGATCTTGAACTGTTGCCAAACTGCTGCTGCAACAGTGTAGAGATAGTGAAAAAGAAAAAAATAATAATATATCTGTCTATGGCGCAGCCCCCTAGCCAGGGGGGTCTTCAACAGGTATCCACGTGGCAGTGCAGATTGCCACGTCTGCAGGCACCAGCAGCCACGACGTGCGCGGGGGGGGGGGGC